TAAAGGATATTTCCCCCTATAAAGGAATGGATTTAGCTGCAGCTATCCCTCTAGTGACGTCACGTTTAGCCACACCCACTGACAGGAAGTAACCTGGCAGAAAGGAAAAATGGGCATTTTTGAAGGCTCATATCTCAGTGAATAATTTTTTTCAGACAATGGGAGTTGGAACACATCATTAGTATGGTCAGGCAATCATATTAAGCAAATAAAAAAATATCTCAAAAATGCACTGAAGTTACCCTTTAATAGGTAACTTGTTTGATGATGATGATAAACCTATTCCTGGACTAGCATTACTACCTCGTTCTATTCGTATCAAACTCCTCCTCCTTCTACCAGCAGTAGATGTACATAAGTTGGAAGGTACATCAGTTACTGCTGATATATTAATGGATGAGATATGGGAGACACTCTACAAGGAAAGGACCTGTAAGAACTGTCATGAGTACTATAGACCATCACGAGAGAAGTACTTTTCACTGTTTTTGTGGAAGGATTTATACTTCAGTGCAATCCTTCCACAAAAACAGTGAAAAGTACTTAGATGCACAGATTTGTACTACAAGTAAAAATATGAAAATTTTAAGGAAAATAGTTTAGCTTAGTATAAAGTGCATGCACAACTGTATGTGTACATGTCTTCCAAGAATTTGTGTAGGTTATTGGTAGCTATTATATTAAGCAGGGTATATTTGCTGACCTGCCTGCCAGAAAATGAGAGAGTTCATTGAGTAGCATTAATAGTTGCATGGAAATTAATATCAAAAATGCTGGAGTACATTCTAGAGTACTAGATCTATAGCAGTAGGTGGATTGATTTTAAGAGTAGATTTTTATGTTGTTAATATCACTTAGTCATCTAAACTGAGCTGCTGCATGCTACATGTGCATCATGGGGGCATGGCATCTTCAGAGTTTTGATAGTCAGTAGATCTAGAATATTGAATATTCTTCTATTGCTTCAAAATGGCTACTAATCCCTCGACTAATCCTCTTTCATGCAGTGTGTGCTTGGAGATGTATACAGATCCTCGTGTCCTGCCTTGCCTTCATGTGTATTGTCTACATTGTATTGAGGGTCTTGTTATTGATTCTAATGTAACTTGCCCTCAATGCAGAGCCAAGCACCCAGTAGAAAATAACCAGGTCGATTTCCCTGTCAATCTGTTGATTCTTTCAAGTTTGGAGGAGTCTGTGGGCAAATCGAAAGAGGAGAAAAAGATATGTGGGTTCTGCACAGAAGGAGATGCTGCCAAAGGCTATTGTGTGGATTGTCAAGAATACCTTTGCCAGTATTGTTGGGACGTTCACAAGAGAAGTAAAATGTTTCTTCGTCATAAAGTCTTGCCAGCTGATGAAGTTTCTTTAAGCAAGGCTCCTGCCATATTCAAACACCCAGCAACTTGCATCAGTCATCCTGAATACAAGCTGGAGGTGTATTGTAAAACCTGTGTCTCACTCGTTTGTTGTAAATGCATACTGGGATCAGGACACAAAGGTCATGAAAATGCTTTGGTTGAAGAGGCCAAAGAAGAAGTTAAAGAAAAGATTCAATCGCTTTCAGAAGCTGCTCTTTCAAATGAACCTTACTTTGAATTTTGCATTAAGCTTATGAAAAAAATTGAAGAAATAGCTCATAGCAAACAAGAGGAATTGCGTAGTAAAGTTACAACTTTTATTGAAGTTTTGACATTGTGGGTTGAAGAAGCATTCACTGAGGATAATGAGAGGATATTGGCAGCAAGCAATGATCTACAAATGGTTTTTTCTCAGATTAAGTCTAGTCGGTCATTTAATACCAAAATCCAGGAAAAAGTTGGCAATGAGCAATATCTTTTGCTAATTAATCAAGTGCTTCGATGCCTCGTAAAAATAAATGAGACGAGTAAAACAAGCTTTCTTGAGTCAGTATGGAACATTAACAGCATTGACAAACACTTTAAAGAGAAGGTTGATAGTATTGTTGACCTTAATCTTATAAAAGAAACTGAGGAAGATAAAATTTTTCCAGTTTCAGATGAGGATGAAGAAGACGAAATTTTCTCAGGTGGCTCAGAGGACAAACTTTTTTCTGGGGGTGGCATTTTCTCAGAAAGCATTGATAAAAAGGAGAAAGCAGATATCGTATTCATGCTGTCAACTGCTAAACCAGTGATAATAATAAATCAGAAAAAATCAATCAAAGCCCAAGCTGTTTTTGATCATCCTTTTGCAGAATTGACTGAATGGTCTTGTGCATCTGTGTATTATCCTGATTGCTTACCATCTACTGAAGTTGTAGATAGTAATACAGTTGAAGTTAAGTTTGATGTAGCGGCAGGGCTCCTAGATCTAACTGGTGAAGCAACATTTCTTTTTCACTTGTCACCAAAAAATATTCCATCATTTATAGTTGAGTTTAAAGTAACAGTACTAGTGATGGAGGAAGAATCAGACGATGAACAATTTCTGATTTAATGCAACTGTCATGTATTAGACTATGCAAATACAATTATTATCTAATCTTTTGGTTAAGTTTTGTCATAACTTCTTTACAAAAATAATCAGGGGTGGATGTATTCAGTTTCCTCCCTCTTTATGTCACTGCATAGCTTACGTTAGAAGGAAATGATTAGCATGTAAACTAACCCAAAATCAAATATAGAGCCTATACTCTGCTTCTAAATAATGATCAGTGGATCTAGATAAGTTACAATAGATCTAGACTCTCTGTTATTCTAGCATTTGCAGTAGGGGCATAGTAACCATGGTATTCAGTGTTTTGATAGTTAGAGTTTGAAGTCTAGATTTAGTGCTTCAAAATGGCTACTCGTTCTCTTTCATGCAGTGTGTGCTTGGAGATGTATACAGATCCTCGTGTCCTGCCTTGCCTTCATGTATATTGTCTACATTGTATTGAGGGTCTTGTTATTGATTCTAATGTAACTTGCCCTCAATGCAGAGCCAAGCACCCAGTAGAAAATAACCAGGTCAATTTCCCTGTCGATCTGTTGATTCTTTCAGGTTTGGAGGAGTCTATGGGCAAATCAAAAGAGGAGAAAAAGATATGTGGGTTCTGCACAGAAGGAGATGCTGCCAAAGGCTATTGTGGGGATTGTCAAGAATACCTTTGCCAGTATTGTTGGAACGTTCACAAGAGAAGTAAAATGTTTCTTCGTCATAAAGTTTTGCCAGCTGATGAAGTTTTATTAAGCAAGGCACCTGCCATATTCAAACACCCAGCAACTTGCATCAGTCATCCTGAATACAAGCTGGAGGTGTATTGTAAAACCTGTGTCTCACTCGTTTGTTGTAAATGTATACTGGGATCAGGACACAAAGGTCATAAGCATGCGTTAATTGAAGAGGCCAAAGAAGAAGTTAAAGAAAAGATTCAATCACTTTCAGAAGCTGCTCTTTTGAAAGAATCCACTGTTGAATTTTGCATGAAGCTCGTGACAATAATTGAAGGAAAAGCTCTTAGCCAACAAGAGGAATTCCGTCAAAAAGTTAAAACTTTTATTGAAGTTTTGACATTGTGGGTTGAAGAAGTATTTACTGAGGATAATAAAAAGATATGGGCAGCAAGCAATGATCTGCAAACAATTTTGTC